ACGTAGTAGGTGTTTTGTGGGACCCAGTGGTGCAGTCTCTCAGATCTGATCTGGGTGTTCTAGGAAAGCCCACTACTTGAGTTATTTGGGTTCTCCTAATGTAGTTGGGACTTGAATGTTATTGTACCATTCATGGATGGAGTCTCCTCATAGATTGTCTGACTATGTGGTTCAGCCCAAAACTTGTCATGCAAGCTGTTGTGGATGTGCTCAGGTTCCAGGCTCCCATAGCAAGGGTTGCTTGTAAGGTCCCACTGGTGTGTGACTCACTGTGCTGTCCCGAAACATGCTGCTGGAGTGGTATGTATCTCTGGGACTCACTATGGGGTCCCCGAGCCCACGGTGGGGTGGTGCACGACTCTGCAAATCACTGAAGGGGATACTGGAGCCTGCAGCCAGGGTGGTGCGCCACTCTGCATTAACACACTGTGGAGGTCTTGGGGCCTTCAGCGGTGCTTAATTTCTGACTGGTCCTTTTTCATGCCTTTGAAATTCTCACTCAGATCCTTGAAAGTCTCAAAAAGTCCCTTGAAGCTCTCATTGAGTCCCTTGAAGCTCTCATTAAGATCCTTGAACAACCTTATCACCATTGTTTTGAACTCTGTATCCAGTAGTTTACTTGCCTCCATTTCATTTATTTCTTTTTCTGGAGATTTCTTCTGTTCTTTCGTCATATTTATTTTTCTCTGCACACTGGCTACTTCCCTGTGTTTGTTCTATGTATTAGGTAGAGCTGCTATGTCTCCTGAAATTGGTAGAATGGCCTTGTGTTGTAGGTGCCCTGTAGGGCCCAGTGGCTCGATCTCCCCAGTCACCTGAGCTGGGCATTCTAGGTGTGCCCCTTTTATAGGTTATGTGCATAGCCTTGTTGCAGTTGAACCTTCATTGCTGTTGGTGTCACTTGGAGGAGTTGATCTGCAGGCCAATTGGCTGTGAGGACCGGCTGCATTTACAGTGGAAGAGTTGCTGTGTAGGAGACACCCCTATGGAGCAGGACCTGCTTCAGCGGGGCTTTGGTGCTCAATGAGTCTGCCCCTTGAGTGTGCCACTTGTGGATGTATAGAGTTATAATCTGGTATGGTCTGAAGTTGTCCACCAGGTGCACTAACTCTGTGGCCTCCTGGGAAGTGCAAAGTCAGCCACTTGCTGGGGACACCTAGAAGGAGCTACAGTGATCTTCAGATAGCTGCTATTTGTATTGTGCTTAGAAGTGCTTAGGTGAGGCCAAGTTTGAAGCAAGGTACACTGTTGCTAGTGCCAGGTCTTGGGCCTCTTATGGACAGGTATGGGGCACACTCATGCCAGCTGCTGCCTGTTTGAGAGATTTTAGGAAATTTTGAGGCCTGATCCAGGATAGTCCTTTCCTATGGAAAAGCTACTGCAAGCCACTTTGGTGGGGCTGCAAGTTGGATGGGGTCTTAGAGAATCACCAATGTGGAGGGAACTGTGTGAGCCACACTGATGGAAACTCAGATATGGCTGCCAGTCAGCTCTGTGATGGGGGAGGTCCCAGCACAGGAACAATGATCCCTGTGAGTACCCCCATCTTAGAAAAAGCTGTCCCTGAGTTTCTGCCCAATGCCAGACAATACAGTTCCTCTTCATATGTTCCTGGTTCCCCCAATGTTGCCACTCAGCACTGGAGATCAGACAGAGTAAGACCCTGTAAGTGCATGCACTGGCCCTTTAAGAGGAACTGCCTAGGACTCCAGCAGCCACCTTGTCACTCAGCCATAATCCCCAATGGTTTTTACAGCCTGAAGTTATGGGAACTTCTCTTTCCAGCTCTGAAACCCTGGGCTGGGGGTCTGGTGTGGGGCTTACACCCCTTGCTTCTCATGGGAGGCCTCTGAACTGGATATATAACTCCTGATTTTAAAAATCACCACAGGTGAGTATCTGATCAGCCCATTTCATGCCTCCAACCCTCCTACCAGACTTGATGTGCTTTGTTCTTTACTTCTAGTTGTAGAACTTCCATTCATCCAGATTTCAGGCAGTTCTGAATGATGGTTGTTCTTCATTTTAGTTGTAATTTTGCTGTGGTTGTGGGAGGTGCTAGTACCAGCATTTACCTATACTGCCATCTTGCTTCTCTGATTTATTTTTTTTAAGTATATTTTATTGATTTTTTTTTTTTTACAGAGAGGAAGGGAGAGGGATAGAGAGTTAGAAACATCAATGAGAGAGAAACATCGATCAGCTGCCTCCTGCACACTCCCCAATGGGGATGTGCCCGCAAGCAAGGTACATGCCCTTGACCAGAATCGAACCTGGGACCCTTCAGTCTGCAGGCCAACGCTCTATCCACTGAGCCAAACCGGTTAGGGCTCTGGTTTATTCTTTATTCCAGATATTGCAGTCTTCATTTCTGACTTATTTTTAATGGTTTATTATGGTTTTTAAATATATTTCCTTTCTCTATGTTCATATTTTCAATGAGATAATTTATTCTTAGCCTTAGTTCCTTAAATATCCTTATAACCCATATTTTAAACTCTGTATCTGATAAATTGCTTGCCACCATTTCATTTAGTTTTTTTCCTGAAGATTTCTCCTGCTCTTGCATTTGGGATTAGTTTGTTTCTCCTCATTTTGGATCACTCTTTGGGTTTCTTTCTATGTGTGAGGTAGATTTGATACATCTCCCAGTCTTGGCAGAGTGATCTTCTGTAGTATGTGCCCTGTGGATCCCAGTGGTGTAGTCTCCTTGGTCACTTGAGTCAGGTACTCCTGGGGTATCTTTTGTGTGGGTTGTGTGTGCCCTCCTATTGTTGTTGAGCCCTGAGTGCTGTTGGCCTATCCTAATGTACTTGGGACTTGAATATTATTGTACCGTTCATAGATGGAGTCTCCTCATAGATTGTATGACTATGTGGTTCAGCCCCAAACTTGTCGTGCAAGCTGTTGTGGATGTGTCCGGGTTCTGGAAATCACCAGAAAAGGAACTAAATGAAATGGAGGCAAGTAATTTGTCAGAGAAAGAATTCAGAGTAATGGTTATAAGGATGCTCAAACATCTGACTGAGAATTACGAGCAACACAATGAGAATTACAAGGAGCTGAAGGAGAAATACATGATGAATAAGAATCAAGAAGAAATGAAAAATGATATAGCTGCAATAATAGGTGTGGTTGATCCTCAGGCTGACTAGCTATGAGGCTTGGCCAGCATCACAGTGTATGAGCTGTTGTGTGTGGGCTGACCCCACACAGCAGGGTTTACCCCATTGGTGCTCTAGTAACTGCTGAGACCACCCTTTGGGTATCCTGTTTGTGAAGCCAATTTGGTGATGTTCTTTTGTGATCTGAACCTGGTCATTGGGTATGTTTGTTCTGTGGCTTCTTTTGAGGGGCTCTGGTGCAAGACCAGTTCAGCCTCTACCTGTGCACTCCCTAGGGCCACCTGTTAGAAACTACAAAGTGATGCTTGATTGGTAGTTGCCTATACTGTGCCCAGAGTCACATGAGAGATGCCACACTACTAACCTAGGCCAGCTGACACCAGTTGTAGGCCTTAGAACACTCAGCAAGAGGCACCAGTCACAAAGAGGCCAGTTGTCACCTGCCTGGGGCTTGTGGAGCTTTGACAGTTTTTAAGAAAGTCTTCAGCATGGACCATAGTCCTTTGCTTAGAAGAAACAAGTGCTGAAAGAGATTTGGATGGTGCTGGAGTTGGATGGGGTGGGGTCCCAGAGAGTCACCAGGTTGGACCAGGGGTATTCACTAGGTTAATGCAGATTCTGATTTGGTGCCTGATTGCAACTGCAGGCAGTGTGGGGAGAGGGCTCAACAAAGGAACAATAGTGGCTGCCCTTCAAGCTCTTGCCTTGAAGCCACACAATTCAGTTTATCCCCATAGGTCCCTGGTACATTTTGAGCTGCTATCTCTTCGCTCAAGCTTAGGATGAGTTTTTGTGATTGAGTGAGTCTGACTCAGGCCCTTTAAGAAGATGCCTGGGTCTATAGCAACCCTCCATCTCACCCAGACAGAATCCCCACTGATTTTCATAGCCAGACATTGTGGGGACTCCACTTCCCAACACTTGTGTACTGAGCCAGGGTTCACAGTGTGGGTCTGAGACCTACTGCTCCTCAGGGGGAACCTCCACAGCTGAGATATCCCTCCCAATTCTTTACATGGTTGTGGGATCAGCCTGTTTCCAGTCTTCACCCCTCCTATTAGTCTTGATGTGGCTTTTTCTTTGTATTCTTATTTACAGAAGTTCCATTCAACTAGTTTTCAGATTATCTCCAGGATGATTGTTCTATAATTTAGTTGTAATTTTGATGTAGTCATGGGAGGAGAATAGCACAGCATTTACTTACTGTTCTATATTGACTAGAAGTCCTATTTGTATATATTTTTATTTTTCAGATTTATTTTTAAATGTCAGCTTTAAATAAATATTATAGTGCTCTATAATAAATAAAAATGTGTTTCTTCACTATTCAGGTTGCTTTCAAGTTAACACAAGTGAATCATATCTCACTGAAATATTACAGTGTACATACTATTTTGAATTCTACATTTTTTCACTTAAAATATAATAAGCATTTTCCCTTATTGTGACATAGTCTTTATAACCATTACTATATATATGTTTTTTTCTCATATTGCCAGACTTTAAGTTGTATCCTAATTATTGCTGTGACTAACATTTTTGTATCTAGTTTGTCTCTGTCTTTATAATAGATTCTCAGAAATGGAATTATTGGGACAATGGCTTTGTAGATTCTTAGGATTTTTAAGTACATATTACCAAATTCATTTATAAAAGAATGGTACCAGTTTACACTGTCACAAAAAAATGGCATGAAAATGCCTATTTTATCATACCCTTACCTCATGATTTGTCTTTGCTAACTTAGAAATGAAAAACTTAGGGAATAAAATTTTACATTGAACTGATACATGCTGCATTTTACAATAAAAATTGAATCTGTTACTTCAAGGTATGGTCCAGCATCAACTTATTTCAGTGGTAATCATTACCTACCTGGACCCAATAGGTATTAACCAGAACTTCTTGTTGTCTCCAAACACCTGCTGGATATTTTTGATGAAGCCAAGGTTGAACCCATTTTTCTTTGGACCACTTATAAACACTGGAGTACAGAAGGCCTCTGGGGCATGTAAGGGTGTTGAATAAAAGAGGAAGAAGACAAAAGGGAAAAAAAATTCAGGAAAGTCATAATTTTACAGTTCTCCATCAATGAGACTTGGTCTTATGATACCTTTCTGCTGTGGTAGCATAGGCCTTTCATTCTTATTTACTTAGTAAAAACTATTTTAACCACTTAACACAAAGTAAGTTTGTTATTAAACACAAAGAATTGGTACTCTCTTTTATTTAAAAAAAAAGGCAGAAAAAAATGAATGATGGTAGAAAAATTAAGTAGCCATGGGCATAATATAATTTTGTCGTGCTGCATGTAAGGAGTGAAATAATAGATTTAACAGCACTTTATTTAAATCTTATTGGCAACAACAGCCAAACAATCTCCATCTTTAGAACTGGGACCAAAGCAATAACATAAAGAGATAGTAATAACATTGATTTGGTTTTGAAACATTTCAGAAATGAAGATGTTCACACTGAAGCACACAATGTAAGCTGAATTTTACTCCAGAAAAAAAATGTGAATGGGTGAACTATAATCAGACTTAAAGACTAAGAGAAATTTAACCATATTAGTGCGTATTATATTTAAACACATTTATTCCATTAAGCAAATACTTTTACTGATGGGCTCTGACTGCATCTGGTCATTTCCTATTTGTTCTTTGTTTTCAGACTCTTTTATCATGAAGCTTTTAATTCTTTTCTAATTTGCAGCTTGTCTAAGCCAAAAGTGCTAATCTACCACCCTAGCAACTAAGTGCTACATATATATTTGGTTTGGAAAATGAGTGCAAATACCTTCTTTCCTGTTAGTGTAATTAATAAATGAGTTTTAAAAGTATAATTGACTTTGTGCTAAACTTTCTTCAAATCTATTTTAGCTAGCCATTCAACATTTTGACACTTTCTCTTCACTTGTCATGAATTGATTTACATACAATGTAAATATTTCTTTCACCATAGATAAAAAAAATTGTTGCACTGGAATCAATCAGAAATATAGTTCTTCAAACAACAAACCAGAGCATAGAATAATAGACAGAAAAAAGTTAATTTACTATATTCATTTTCTAGAAACTCACTTGTTCAATGTGTTCATCTCACACACACAGTCCCTACACAACTCCTTGATGATTGTAGATATTCAATTTTTTTTTTTTGGCTTGAGTTCTTTCTTAGGACTCTACTTTTGGATGTGCTCATTAAGTTATATTCTTCTATTTTTATTGACTTTTATCTCCAACTTCTGGTATTCCCTTCTGTACTGATTCTTTCCTTCATTTCCTCATGTGAACACTTATAAAAAATTCAAGCTGAAAATCGAGAGAGCTATTACCCAAAATGAACTATAAAGAACAATGGTCATTTTTGGTTTTGTGTGAGGTTTCTTTCACTAATGTTCTCTTCCCTATGTAAGCTTCATTCACCATGGCCCTCCTGTTTGGTAAAACTTGTTTGCATTTATCTCAACAGGGGGAAATTAATGTCACTGCAGCTAAAATGCTTCACTGGAAGTTTTTCTCTTTCTTGGGAATAATCCACAGGTCACTGTGATATACATTAATACTTTTTTTGTAGTCTTAATATCCCGTCTTACCTAAGGTGGTTTTGTTTCTGCTGACAAGCCAACAATGGTAACCAAAGAGAATCACAAGGCTGACAAAAAACATGCAGGCCACAAATAGGAGAAAAAGGACATGGAACTTAGAGCGAACACTGGGTAATTCCCCCTAGAAAAGAAATAATAAACAGAAACGAAAGATTAAAGTTGTAAGGCTTGGCTAGTTTTTCAATAAAGGTTAGTAATTTTTCATATGTTTAAAATGTCTAGCTGTAATTAAAAAGTAGATTTTGTAAAATTTGTAAAAAATTTCTTTCTTTTGATGACCATGCCTCTTATAGATATGCTTTCAGCTTACAAAGCCTAACATGGATTCTTGCTTAAGTGCAGGTCACTCTAAAATATAGCATATAGTGTACCAATTAGAAAAAGATAATTTGTAAAGAGTATACTTAGTCCTTAATTGGTATGCAATGTCTTAGTTTTAAAATTAGTTTCTAAATCATGAATCACTAACTAGAGGTAATTTTGAGAACATATGGTTCATCCTCTTATCTCAAGGTGAGTTACTCTGGAATACTTTATATGCCATATTTTCTTGGATGCATATGTGTGTTAAAAAATGTCATTATGATATATGTAGGAAGTTAAAACACATAGGTAGAATTTTTAAAATGTTCTGCTCATAAGTCATGAACTGATTTTAAAGCTACTACAAATTTTGTCTGGTTGTGCGTGTTTGTTTGTTTTTTATAGCTGAAGTACAATGTGCTGATATATTACATCCTGTAAAATTACTGTTTAGACTGTAAAATTAAGCAGATTTGACAGGATAATTTAAAAGCAGGTAGCTAAATATTTTTCTAGTTAGCTGGGACATCTTATTCTCCATGTGGCACCAGTTTTTTAAAAATGTGCAGCCCTAAACCAAAATGAATTTTCTAAAGTTCTATAGCATGCACAGCTCATAACATTTTGTCTTCTATAGATAATCTTAGAAAAAATTTCAATTTTTGAGTGAGCAGTTATGGTAATGACTTTCCTTTATCCCTTCCTTTTCTTGCTGATCATTGTTTTGGCTTGATGAATTATTTTGAAATATTTACAAATGATCTCAAGTGATAAAGTTAAAGCTAATTCTCAAAGTGGACCTTACATTAGGATCTGGTTCTACTCTAGCTTAGAAGAAGAAAGTTAAGGCTGGGAAAAACTTGGCAAATTTAGCTTGTACCAATTTACTTCTTCTCTTACAGGAGATTTTTATTCATTTTGATGTGAAGAAATATTGGAAATCTTCCTGTGTGTGTTTGAAGGCTGAAGATAAGAGAAAGTAAGTCAGTGAGATGCTTTCATATGAGAGGTGGGCTGGGTGAAAATGGCATAAAATTTTCTCCCTTTTGAAATGATTCTTCTTGGCCTAAGCATCCAAACTGAATTTGATTGTTTTTTGTTTGTTTTGTTTTGAATTTATAGGAAACAAATATATCAGTTTGTAGGGGTTTTTACCTGGCTGGGTTTTTATTTCACATCTCTACTTTTTGAATGTGTTTTTTAAAGCTTTTAAAACTTATTTATTTTCATTCTTACCTTTTATGTTTAAATGGGAAATAAATAACTGTGCAAGAGGGAGTGATATAAAGTGAGTTCACACTCTGGATAGCATAGCTGAAAATCTTTCCCTGCTCTAAGTACTCTTACAGGACTCTCTTGTGTCTTCCAAATCCTATCTACTGTATTGTCTCTTGATAAAGTACTTAATATTTAACTTTTTTTTTGTTAGAAGATGATGGCCCTATGTTCAAAATTAACTTCTCAGAAGATAACCAAGCTAAATTACTCAACCACCAGAAACATTTCAGGGCAATACTAGTGGAATAATACTTATTTTCTTGGTTCTAAAATAATTCATAGCCTCTACGAGGAGATTCATGGCCCAAAATGGGAGATGTAAGTTACTAATTTTTCCTAACAAAGCAGCTACTCTTTAAGTTAATATTAATGGGAGAGACAAATGTGATGGTCTTCTGAAGTCTTCATTCTGAATGTGCTAGAGCTTTTCCACAGCAGGACTATAATGGACAGTAAGACATGGTACCATGTTTAAGGTCAATGGGCTTTGAGTCAGATTCAATACTGACTTTGAAACTTATAAGCTGGATAATCCGGAGCATGTCACCTAACCACTATGAGCCACAGTTTTATCATCTTTAAATGAGACTAACAATTCCTGCTTTGTCTACTTCACAAGGCTGTGGTGAGGATAAAATGACATACTAGATATAAAAGTGCTTTGAAAATAGTAAAGTGCCATACAAATAGATGTTGCTGTTCTTAGGAGCACAGCTAGCTTTCTTGCTACATAGCTTTTAAAATAAATGTCAGATAAGTTTTCAGGGTGGTATGGTGATTGTGGGGGGAAGAGGGGTGGATGGAGGCAAAAGAGGGTATAGAGGGGCTAAATGGTGATGGAAAAAATAAAATAAAGAAAAAATAATAAATGGCAGTGTTTACATTTCATTTTAAGGGAGACTCAATTTACACTGAGAAAGCCATCCCTAGCCCACATCAAAGGGCTCTGTAGCTGGAGAAACTGAAAAGAATCATTTATTTGAATGTCTTTTTCATTATGAGGGCAAGACAAAATAAGTTTAATCGCCTCTCTCACATATGTCAGGCAGAAGCTAGTATATTGTAGAGAAGAAACGAGGGCATAGGAAAGGACAAGTCTATGTTCATCCCTGATGTTGCTTATGAATACTGACATATTTCTGGTGATTGATTCATGTCCAACTATTAACTTTCAAGAGTTAAAAAAAAGCATATGGCACCTGGCTGACATTTTTTAATTTGATTATTGGCTGACTAGGAGGGCCAAATGCAAAATGTGTAAAATGTAATATTGTTTACTCAGTTAAACAGTAGCCTACTGTGTTAAGAGCCAAGTCAGTAGTGAAGACCAAGGCTGACATTTTGCCTAATGAATTGGATGCAGTTATTTTCTTTACTTTCAGGGTAGTAGCATAGTGTGTGAATAAAATGCCAAACATATCACAGAAACCTGAGCAATTGATAGGAGATCCTGTGTTGTGGAAAGGGACCAATGAAGAAATACCAAGATGGTGAAGCATTTTATATTTGGGGAAAATACAAAATTGATGAGAAAACTTCATTTCTGTTTATATTTTTGTATCTCTGAGTTGAAGAATTTTATATCCATTATATTATTTCCGATTATTAATATTATTAAATATCTGAATTGATTAAGCAAGTGGAAGGAGGAATGGAAAGCACATAGCACTATAATTTTCTACACTACTGGGGTGAATCACTATTTAACAATTAAAATCTTCTCAGCTACCTAGAGTCTCACTGCTGTGCCTTTCTATTCATGTTTTTTCCCTGCTGCTTTACCTCTCTGCTTGAGGTAAGATATTCTTGTTGTACAGGCTCTTGTGCAATTCCTAAAATAATAACTAGTAGCTCTGCCTACATCTGTCTTTTGTTATTCAGGTTCAGGTTGGACAATCCTCTTTATGGAACATTATGATATCTTAGTAATTATACTAGAGTTGTATGGAGGTAATGTCTTCCGGAGTCCATTGGCATGAAACAAAACAAAATATTTCATTATATTGCTGCCAGAACCTGTACACATATGTAAACTGAAAATCTACATTCAATTATTTTGGAAATAGACGGGTTATGATGGATATCTTCAAGTAGAAGAAAGATGAAAGTAGGATTTCTTTAGATTTCATTATAATTATCGGAATCATATTTTGAAAGGCAGAGTACTTCCAACAACTGTTTCACTTGATTTTGTTAATGAGCCTGTAAAGCAGCTAACAGAGCCAGTATTAGAATCCCAGTGTTTGTTATACAAAGTTCAAATAAGACTCCTCATTTCATTTTGGTAATATGTGAAGATAAGTTAATGTATCTTTCTTTCCCTGTAGGAATTTTGCAGCTCTCCTTTGAACAAGGAATTAGAAAGTATTTTTCTAACAATGAGGGAGTACTTTGTTATGCTTTTTCTTAGGAATCTAAGGATGTAGAATTGTTTCAACATTTGTCAAGTCTATAATTGGTAACATGTGACTTTTTAAAGCTTGACAAGAGAAGTACATTGTAAGGAATTAGTAAGAATCAAGAAGTTAGGTTCTAGAAGGCCTTAAAAATATTCTCATATATGACAGGAACTTTTTATTTATTTATTTTTAGTATATTTTATTGATTTTCTATAGAGAGGAAGGGAGAGGGATAGAGAGTTAGAAACATTGATGGGAGAGAAACATCGATCAGCTGCCTCCTGCACACCCACTACTGGGGATGTGCCCACAACCAAGGTACATGCCCTTGACTGGAATCGAACCTGGGACCTTTCAGTCCACAGGCCGACGCTCTATCCACTGAGCCAAACCAGTTAGGCCAACAGGAACTTTTAAAATAGGAATATTTAAATAACGGCTCCTGAATCTCAGAATATTCAACATGGGAAACTTGCTTTTGGTGCTTTCCCTTATGGTTATTTCCATATTAGTTATTTCAAAATGTATTAAAAAATAAGGCAAACAGTGTCACAGACTGGAGTATGTGTGTGTTTGTGTGGTTTTTTTTTGGGAGGGGGGGCAGGGAATTCAGGATTTTTTAACTTACTCTCCAGTATTTGATGAAATAGCTGAAGACCGTTGTAGCAATGTACAGGCAGTAGAGAACAGAATAACCTAAGAACTGAAGGAAGAATTTATAGTTGGAAAATCCAATGCAATTATTAACCCTAAAAAAAGAAAAGAAAAACTAATTTGAAATCAGGACCCATTTATTGAGAGCACACTGATACATAAGTGAATTAAGCAATGGAAGTATGTTGCTCCTACTGTTTCATTATGTGTTGTGTAGAAATTCAACAGAAATAAAATTCCCATAAGAGGAACAAACTAGAAAAGCAAGTTAACATCACACTTGTTATTCCTTTCATTCACAGGGACAGAGACACCTGGCCAATCTAATTGTTCTGAACTGGTTCCTGACACACCCAATCAAACCTAGATCTTGGATGCTGAAAACCTATTAAAATATCAGCAGCTACATTTAGTACAGTGTGGCATGTTCTCTTTGTAGTTAGATGCTTTCAGACTGGTTCTCTAGATCAGACAGAAAATTTGGAGAATTGCTGATGCTAACAATGTACAGTATTTTAATTTGGTTATTGGCTGATGAGGAGGGCCAAAGGCAAAATGTGTAAAATGTAACATTGTTTACTCAGTTAAACAGTAGCCTACTTGTTAAGAGCCAAGTAAACATCAAGACAGCAAAAAAAACTAACAAAAAACAAAAACAAAAACTGATTGCATAATGTCAAAAGGAAGAACTATTTGTGCTTTATTCCATTACTATGACTAATTGTTAAAGCTAATCGACAAGAGACCATTAGCTTTGTGACCCAAGAATTCACCACCATACTTTTTATGGTATATTTATTCTTGCTTTAAAATGTTAAGCCCCCTGTCCCTCACACAAATAAGAGCCCAGTGAAGAGCAGAAACAGGCATGTTACAACTGTGCTTACTAAAGTAGGCATATTAAGCAACTCTTTTTGGAGGAAAGAATAAAATAAAAGGGCCTTACCAAGGGCAGTGATGGTCCATTTTTAAAACACACCTAAAAAGGGAGCAAAATATAGTGTGATAAGTAGGGCTATGGAAATGAAGCAAAACCTCAAAATTTAAGTCAATTTCTCACCAGTATTTTTACATGGTACCAGTACACTCATTCCTAGATTTCCACAATAGCTACACTAAGACTATGGTGTTCTCAGTTATTCCTTGTATTAGCCAAGCACAACAATTTATAGGATCATGCTGGCAACAAGTTGCATGCCTAAAAGTCCAATCTATAAAAGTGGTTGGGAAATCTAGGATATTGATACAGAGAATAGGTCTAGGATATTGCCCTTCATTTTGCTCAATATATAGTTAATTAAAACTACGGAAGAAACTATATGGCTACATCTGTGTTTGAATCAAGGGTAAGATAAATACAAGTGAAATAAGCACCCAAGACGAAAGATATGAAGATGATACCTAATTAACATAAAAGTGTGGTTTTACAAAGCTGGAACAATTAGAGTAACAAAACAATGTAGTACTGAGTTATAATACAAAATGTAAAGAGAATGAAGCATCAGTGATGAGAAAGAATCATTGATCAGCTTCCTCCCTACTGGGGATTGAACCTGCAACCTGGGCATGTGCCCTGACCAGAATCGAATCATGACATCCTAGTATATAGGTCATGCTCAACCACTGAACCACACTGGCTGGGCAAGAGTAACTTGATAGTTGAGAAATCTGACAAACACTACCTCAGCCAGATGATCAAGACTAACATTACAATGATGTCATGTTTATATTATGTACCCTAGGTATGATATAATGAACATGGTACTTTACCTCTATGGTTTTCCTCCCCAAAACACACTACCCAAGTCTAATCTAAAGAAAAATTTCAGCTGAAATATATTCTACAAAATACCTGACAATCCTAAAAGCTGTTAAGGTTACATAAAAGAAAGTACATTCTGAGAAAGTATCACATCTAAGAGGAGCCTTAGGAGACATGGCAAATAAATGTAATATGGTGTCCTGAATGGAATCTTGGAACAGAAAAAGAACATTAAGGGAAATCTGAATAGAGTATGGATTTAAGTCCAAAATAATGTATAACTATTTGTTCATTAATTGTAACAAATTTATCATCTACACTAATAAAAGAGAAACATGGTAATTAGCATACGACCGCTACCCTTCCCATTGGCTAATCAGCATATCCTTATGCAAATTAACTGTCAGCCAAGATGGCGGCCGGCAGCCAGGCAGCTGGAAGCGAACATGAGGCTTGCTTCAGTGACTGCAGACTCCAAC